ACGGCGTTTTTTCTAAGAAATGTTTATACTATAATGTTGATATTTTCCATAAATAATAGGCCGTATCTGTTAAATAGCTATAATTAAAATATAAAATCTAGCGCCCAAATTTTCATTTTTAAGTAGTAACGAATATTTATTACTTCAGTAAAACAAAAAATCATATATTTTATTCCTAAAAAATAAAACAGAATACTAGAAAATGTAAATGATTACACACTGAAAATCTTATAATTACACATCCGATATCGCCAAATTCTCCCAAAATTGTTTCCTGTTTTCTGGAATTATAGTACACAGTGTCTTCAGTATACTCTCCTTTTTGTCTCTACTCACTCCTTTAGATTTTTTCAGTGATTGGGGCAAGGCAATACCACCACGATTTGTTGATGATTTTCGTAAGAAGTCACATGAAATGTAAGAATCCTCATAATCCTCTTTGTATAATAAATTGTAGCTTCCTCGGTTAAACTGGACTTGTATAATTTTAGCTAAGTAGGGTCTGCTCGGATTTTTCTTTAGTTTTTGTTGTGAAGAATGATCTTCCCATAGGAAAAAATCGTTGTATTCCATAATTTTAATGTCAACTTTCCCTTTATTCGATTTTTGGACGGCTTCAACAAAATCAGGAAAATCGTAGGTTTTGCGCTGTTTTTTCAAAGATAGTTCCACCTGGTGGTGGAAACTATCAGCCGACATGAACGTATGCCCAGGTTCAAAATAACAAATTGTTATTTGATTTGCTGATATACTGTTTGAGTTCACAATGTAAGCCAAAAATGTATAAAAACACCAATTCTTGTTCTGGCTTGAACAATTGTCAAGCCATATAATAATGTTCTCCAAATCTCTTTGTTTTTTAAAAAAAGCGTAGAAAGTACTTACAAGGTCTTCTTTGTTGCGGCCACTTGTACCCTCGTGCCATAACACTGCGAAGGGTTTTGCTTTTGTATTTCCCCCAACTGCAACAAAACTTTCATGATAAGCTATAATCCGTTTTGTGAATATCACTTTTTTAAATTGGTCTACACGCGGCAGCATTATAATTTTTTGTAAATCTGCTGAGAAGTAACCTGTGTTCATTTCAAAATTTTTGGATCCATGCTCCTGATATAGTTTTCTTGATTTCCGTGCCAGGTTAATGTGACCTTTCCATTTTACGCAAATTTCACATTCGTCTTCCATGGCACTTTCGGAGTGACCATGTAGCTTAAAATGTTCGCATTCTTCGCACTCCTCTTGGCCAAGTTTCGCGAAGGAGATATTTTTAGATTTCACTTTTAAGCGATAATAGTCATACGACACCTTGATATTGGGATATTTTTCTAGGAAATCAGTGTACATTACAGACATGTTTACATCGCTAGGGAGATATCTGCGGTTCGGTGCGTGTTCCCGTCTGTAATGGGAGATCTGCGGATTGAACGATTCTATATGGTCGTTGATTGTTCCCTCTTCTTTAATTTTATTTGCCGATGGTTGCACCCCTCGTTGGTCCCGACTGGCAGTAATTTGACCTTTAGGAGTTTTGAGAAGTGTATCGCGTACAAACCGATCATTTGTTTTTTTGTAACCAAGAGTGGTAAGAAAAAATATTTTACAAACATCTTGAGCACACGAATTTTGGTCTTTTAGAGAATATTTAATTGTATTTTTTTTCGTATCACTTTCGGAAGTTCTTCTGATTACATCAAACATTTTACAAGTATTCAGAATAAATGTTCTTCTGTCAATCCAGGACAACTTCCAAAACTGGCAATTTATTTCCTTACGTCTCTCATCTGACAATTTAGAAGAACACTTCTTTCTGCAACCGCCACTACTACATCCAGGTAATACATTATGGCTATCTATAACACTTTGCATTTTTAATTTCTTCCTTTCTTTCAAACTTAATTCCATTTTCTTGCGTTTCCTGGGATTTCCTTTCTTTGTGTATTGAGTTATTGCACCTAACACAAACATTTTGTTTAGTATTAATATTTAAAAAACTATGTTTTGTGTATACCTTGTTCCAAATTTATATCTGCTGATACTAGGATATCATTGTCTTCTTCTTGTAATACATCATTTTCTTCCAAATGAGTTTGTTGTTGTATCCCGCTACTATTATTATACTCGTCTTCGTGTGCAGTACTCGACAATAATTGTTCTTTTCCTTTTACATGTGGTTCTATATTTTTCATTGCCATGTCACAATTCTGAATGGCTCCTCTAAACGAATCTAAAAATTTTGGAAACAAATGTTATCTACTTTTGAAAAACTATTTTAGTTTGCAGAACTTTACCTGAAACCATGTCTGCGTCATTCGTAGCTTCTGCAATCTTTTCAGATGATTCCAAATTGTATTCACCGTCATATAATTGAACATTACGTAAAGTTTCGTAAACTGCAAAATTATTTTCACTACCGTTTTCTTGTGATGTAATTATAGAGTCTTGTATCTGGCAAGAAGAATTTATTTGAATAAATTGTCCGTATTCCTGGCAACTAGAAGAGATTTCATTTTCCTCACTAACAAGAGACGTAAAATTTGGTATAATAATTCCATCTTCAGTTTGTATAGGAATTTCATCAATTAATAACGATAACACTTCCGCGTTTTGTTTCTTGGCATTATCAAGAATCTGTCTTGTACGCTTCGACATTGTGTTCACTCAAAATGACGAAATGCAACTAGTCACCTTTGAATCCATCATTATATACAATAAATTACTAAATAAAAACGCCTTACGTACATAACGAAACCGCGCTGATACGGTTAATACTAGGCAAGAGAGCCGTATTTGCATTTCGCTAAACAAAAGCGCCGTATGTACATGATAGATACGGCGTTTTTGCTTAGTATTCTGTACATACGGCCTTTATATTTAGGAAACTCCTAAAATTGTGTAGATACGACAAAATTATTAACAAAATTTTCCAGTTTAAATCGAATATACTGCATTTTTGCTTAATGAAAGACTAAATTTAAAGGATTTTAAACCTATAGACACCAATATCTCAATTTTGGTATTTTTTGTAGATACGGCACTTTTGCTTAGGACGGCAGTATTATGGTGTACGATGCAAAATTGAAAATTTGCGATGCAATCGCTCTTAAAATTGCATACACCAAGTGCAATGAACAACCCTTAATTCCACATGGGCTAGGTGCACGCACGTCGGCAAATGGACATAGGAATATAATAAATATTGCACCTACCAACAAAAAAATTCGAAACCTCTGCAGTATTGCATGCAGTTTACATCGCAGATTTCACCCCGATCGAGATAGGTAATGCGGTAGCGTTCGTGTAATTAACGATCGATTGTTACACCGCTTTTTAGTTTCTTTGCGTAATATATTTTTAAGTAAGCCCGTTTATGGCGGATGCTCTAATTCGGAGTCGTAGGTTACATGTACAAATTGCGTACAGGTGAAGATACTCGCCAAAGTCAAACAGCGCCCTTTTCGCCCTTAAATACAAGGGAAGGGTCGTTTAAACTCTTGTGAATCTTCAAAGGGATGAAACTAAGCTATTTTACATTTTCCTAATTTAGGTAAATTGTCTCCAGCTAAGCGCTTTCTTATGAGGATGTAATACGTGCCATCCTGCAAGCTTTCTTGCCCGACTTATAACGTTTGCGTACCGATTTTTAGACGAGAACAAGGTGCTGCGACTGACTAAATAACAAAGTGTATAAGTAAAAAGTTAAAGTGAGGGGAATGTAATGCAATGAGATCAGTACAAATTAAAACCCCCTAAGGACCTCTTCGCTCCGTCTGGCGGGGGCAGTGTTGAAACGTAACTTTAAATCACTCAACATCGCTGCCTGTCGCTGTTTACGTGAAGTATTTGCGCTTTATTCCTGGAAGTTCGGAACCATTATTATCCGGATTTACTAAATAAATTCAACCTCGGGGACTATACACGACTTTTACCTACCCTAAGATGGTCGCAAAATTGTTAGAACAGTCCATAAATTCATTATGTTCATTATTGTGACAATGGGTAATGGTGGATAACGGTATAATCTGAAAACCAAAAGATTAACAGATTAACTCAAACTCAAACCGCGAATGAAAGTTCAGGTTCAAATTGCAGAACTAAATTCGAAATTCAGATCCGTGATTCAATATCTACGCGCAAATTCAGGATCAAACTGAGGATTTAAAGTGATTTAAATCGCTGGTAAAATTAGAATAAAATTACACTCGATCAGAGATTCAAAACTAATATTCAGGTCAGGCCTTTTCACCTCCCAATAACTTCAACATAAATTCCGTGATTTATGGTTCAAATACGAGTCGCAAATTGGAGGTACCACATGAAGGTATTCAAACCATTGACACGCTCAAATTTTGTGCTTTCTTGTGCCGTATAATACAAATTTTATGTTAAAGTGACAGTAATTTCCCGACCACCATCTTGAAGCGCCTCCAGAGGCAAAATCCACCTACGAGGGAGCTGACTGCCCAAAATGGTGGATACTCTCTTGTGGTTGGTTATGATGCCTTGTGTTTGCGAGGGTCAGCACGGACACGAACTCGAGGGGCGACCACTTTCTGGAGTCCTTGCAAACAATTGATTGGGATGTTTTAAATCTCGGAGCAGCCCCCACCTTCATCACAACGCAGAGGCAGGAGATAATCGATCTGACGTAGTGCTCCTTTTCAATAACTCACATGCTCACAAAGTAGAGGGTGTCTGATGAACAGTCGCTATCGTACCACAGGCGCATTCTGTTCCCACTAAACAACTCACTGCGGGCTCTGCAGGTTTCGGAATCCCTGATCAACTGACTGGGACTGCTATGTGGGGAAACTGTCAGAGCGATTGGATGATCCACCTTTAGGTCTGTCGGAAAGCAGGACAGCCGTAAACTGCAGACCTTTCGAGGAAGAAAGGGAACCCCTTGCTGGAACTCGAACTTCGAAAAGGTTCGTACGGATGTTCGCAGACTCCTTTATAGGGTCATGCGAACTAAACTGCCTGGGAACTGGGAGATCTCAAAATCGATCAGCGCAGGTATAAGAACCATACTCCAAGTTCTAAACGGGAGGATCATGAAGGATTCTTCTGTGGTAACCTAGTGGGTCTTCCGGAAGTTCAAGAACTTCTTAAGATTCTTTTGAAAGGCCCAGTGCCAAAGTGGTGACACTGGGGCAGTCATACGTCAAACGCGGGTGAACCCACCTCTCCTGGAAACACACTTTTCAGGTTCTGTGGACGACGTAACTTCGGATCCACTACATGGGTCAGTGGAAGGCCGACCGCCTGGGTGGATACCGAGGGACCGCTGAGATGGGCGGTCAATACGTTCAGCCCCTTTAAGAGTGCAGAACTGAATGGGATATTCTCGTCCTTTGTGTCAATTGGTATGGAACCGCAGTTGCTGCATTTGTTACACTACCTTAAAACCTCCCTTGTTTTAGGGTATACATATTCCCAAAAGCTGGAGAAAGGTAACAGTTGCATATCTACACAAACCGGGTCGTGGCAAACATGACCCAGCCCATTACCTTATCATCTTTTCTTCTAAAAATAGTAGAGAAGCTACTGGATGCATACATAAGGAGTGAGGTAATTGTCTTTATACCGCTACACTCATTCAAGCATTCTTACAGAGCTGGTATGTCTACGGAGGCGGCTCTTTACAGCCTCGTGTGCGGGTTGACGAGGGGAGAGGGGTCTGGGAGCGTTTAACAACACCGCATTCGATTACATTTAGTGAAGCTGTTGATTGATGTTGGTCACCAAAGGATGTCCGCATGGTAGAGTGTTGTCTCCACATGGTGTTTGATGGGCTCCTCCGCACTGTAAAGAAATTTGGTGCATATAACAAGTACACTTTTTGAGGACGCTAACTGGGTCTGACCTAGAAAGGGCACATTGAATGAATAACTCAAAAGGCCACTACGTGTCTATAGGCATGTATAAGGGTTTTTGCTTCAATCCTCGTCCAACCTACAGGAAGCAGCTAAGTAAATTACATAGATTGGCCTGCCTGGGAGTCACTGGAACCGTGAAAACCATGCCAACTTTGGCCATGAGGGCACTTATTGAACTAGAGCCTTTACACTTATCTGTAGAGGTGGAGCCTCGGAACAGTCAGCCCTATTTGCTTTGTTGAAGACGCAGTTCGTCATATTTTATAATAAATTTGTGCACAGGTAAATTAAGTAAAGTGGTTTATGTAGAAAAGGAAGTGTTGCAACGTGGCCGGTTACCTTTTGCCGCTAGCCTGCGTCCGCCGTGAACTTTTTGCCGTTCGACTTTTATTTCGTTTCCCGATGTCGTGGTTTTTTCCGTTTACGTGAATTAATTGTCGACCCGTGTGGCGCAGTTCAGTTAAAGCTGAACTGTGGTGCTAAGGGTCCCTGGTTCGAAGCCAGGCATGGATATTTGTAAATGTATAGTGGGTTGGGTTGGTAGAGCAGCCTTGACTGAAACCCCACCCACTCAAAAATAAAGGAAAAATAAAATAATAAAGTAAATGTGAGACGTTTTATTGAAGTAATTACAGTAGTGTTTGTTGCAAGTCAGTTTGTGGGAAGTAAATTAGATTAAAGAAAGTTTAGTGATTTTAGAGGTTGTGAATACGTTTTATGGAGTCCTTTGGCTAAAATCAAATCTATGCGCATGTCACATCACAGGCAATCGCGCACTTGGATTATTACCGGAGTCGCCAAGAGTTCTCTACGGAAAGCACGGTGAACGGTGTAAGTACCGAAGTGATCCGTCCTTAATAAATCAAAATCGGTATAAGAACGCAATGTAAATTTTAATGTAGCAATTTATCCAAATTAATTTTTCTAAAAGAACGTTGCAAGATCCTTCCTAAATATTAATATGGGTCACCTCATAAACGGGCGATATTCATGTGACGATGATATACATTTTCATATTTTGTCACATAAACAAAACACGTGTATACAGTATACACGTATATACAGAAATGCTTGCGCTCGTTTGCGTTTCATATAGTTTCCAGGAAGCAATAAATAAAGACCGAAAGGATATTTAACTTGTAAAGGAAGCGCTCGAGAGGTCAGTCATTAAGATCTCATTGTAGAGTAACTTACTGAGTAGAAATATGCAATTTAGAGTGATTCAATGAAATTCATCGAGTATAGACATTAAAAATGTTAAGAACATTCAATTGTAAATTTATAGTGGTGTAATATTGTTGGGTCTGTTAATTAACTTCAATTCCCACCGTACTTCAAGGTAATACTGATATGAATAAATGCAATATTTGTAATTGGAAATTGAATTAGGTTTTCTAATTACTCAAGCTGCTAGCAAATTGTATTAACTTAGCTGAACGGGCTAATTAATTCCTTCTCATGCGCCTCTTATAATTGACTCATATTTTAATTTTATCACTTCATGAATATGCGTTGAATATTAGTTTAGGTGGGTTTTAAAACGTTTATTGCTGGTGACAGTAAGGCCCAATAGTGCCTTAAATTTTCTGTAGGAAGCCGACCTAGGCGGAACCACGCCTATTTATAATAAAGATAAGGTTATTATTCTGGCAGTGGCGCCTGAGTCTGCAACGTTGGTCCTGCAAACCACAGGCCATATCAATCCCTTATACCAGTCCGCGTATCCGTGGCCAATTAGTGCCAAGTACTGTGATTTATGCTCGTAGTAGTTAAGTGAAATTCAAGATAGTAGTACTACGTAGTAGACCGAAAATTAAGGGCTCAATCAACGAAAAGAGTCTTCTCGGCTTCACCGTTTACCGGGAAATATAAAATGGCATACAAATCCAATCAAATTTGGCTCAAAAGAGTGGAGAGCCGGATGTGGTTGAGGTCAATTTCACGTCGCCGGGTTTAGATGTAGAGGTGGTGCAAGAGTGTAGATAATGCTTAGAAACCTAATACAGCTGCATTGTCTATCAGGCTGCATTCCCTAAATGCCAGTACGTGGTGTGTCGCTTTGGCTTAGATTAAGGCATGAAAGAGAGCGAATAGAAAGTGCGTCTATTTTTCTTGCCAGTACCCACGCCAGTGTTGCAAGCAACGTCTGAACACGTTGGCGTCAGTCGCTGTCTCTGGTTGTCTCGCTGTCATAACCTACGAAGTATGATCATTGGCGTAGTATTTATTTTTGTTTTTTTCATAAATGGTGCGTCAATTCAGTGAAATAGAAACTTGTAAGCTTGTTGAACGAGCTTTTTGCTTCTGCGTATATTTATTTGGGGGTAAAGCTAGGTCAATCGCAACAAGGTGCCATAATTGGGTAGAGGTTCATCATTATTTGCCTACCGACTATAGGCCGAGACTTTTTCGAGACATTCTGTCTAGGGTTCAAGGTTCTAACGCACCATTTATAGAATATTGTTCTTATATGAATACTTTATTCTCTCGGTATGGTGACTTACCTGACATTCAACTGAATATCTTGGTGAGGAACCTAGCCATGTGATCAAATCACTAACCGTATTGGAGGAAGAGTGTTTGAACTTGGAAATAGAAATATCGGTCCGATAAATTAACAAGCACCATCTCGTCGCAGGTATTGGTCCGCTGTCGAGCATGAACTTTCTTGTGATATTTCTGGTGCGAGCGCGTCGAATTCGAGAACTGGGTAATGAAGTAAATGTCTGGAATTGTCTAAAGAATGATCACCTTGCTAGATAGACTGTTTAAGAAGCACTGTTTTAAGTGTGGTAATCTTCATGTTACACTTCGTAAGTGTTCTCGTTGCCGATCTAGCTCAAAAAACAAGTGTTGGGGGTGATAGACGTAGGTCAACTATCATCTCTGAGATTTAATGGGACCAATTGGATGAAATGTTTTCAGGGTGATGAGAGGTCGCATATCATGGTCAATATTTTCGGAAATGATAATTTTAGTGTTACTCGATTCAAATGAATAATCGAACCCTTTACGAGTCCTTGGAGTAGCCCGATTGTGATGGTAAAAAAAAGATGAGTCATGGAGATTCTGTGTCGACTTTCGTCCGCTCAAGAAAGGTACTAGGCGAGACGCCTAACCTTTGCCGTTTGTTTCGAACATTCTAGATCATTATACCACGACTGTAGCTAGGTCACACAGACGGCTCTTGATGCGACATATTGGCGAAGTCATAGACATTAAGTAGGATACTTTTGGTTCCTCTTTTGTAAGCTTGTTTATTCCGAGGGGGAAGGGGGGGAAGATACTTAATTCGGCGATCTAGTCAGAGTTTTGTTGAATTGTTGGTACAAATTTTGGTATAATATGTTGTGACCCTGGGCTTAACCTAGCGGCTCACTGTTTGCCTTTTTTTAATTACTGCATGTCCTGTACACACATTTATAAATATATCAATATGTATTTATATCGTCCTGAGAACTTTTGTTGTTGGCTGTAAATACAGAACTAGTTAAGTTATATGTGTTGTGTATGATTGTTTAATAGCTACAGTCCGGCTCCCGGATATTCAGCAGCTGGTTAGGAAGCGAGCTGGTGTCTGGTGGTGAGTTAGTGGTTGCTGGACACCTAGATACAAAGAGGCGATATCGAAGGAAAGCTTAAGATAGAGTGGTATCGCCAATACATTTATTTGTGTGTTTTAATCTGCTTCGGCTACTCCCCAAGTTGGCGTTGCAAGATTCATGCCTAAGATTCAAATTGGAATTGACTCGTGTCACAAAAGCGAGTCTCAAATTAGTGAATCAGACTCGACATTAAAATGGACCTCAAATTTACACACACTCCAATTGAGGATTAACATCTGCGAATCAAATTGGAGACTGAAACTTCAATTTCTATACTTGAAATTCAAACGTGTGATTCAAACCCAAATTTTTATTTACAAATTGGGGGTGAATTTACCTATTTAGAATAACATCATAATTATAATTAATAATAAGACGAGGGCTTGGTTGTCTTACACGACAGGATTTACAAAGTAAAGTGTAATTACATTACTTAATTTCGTTTACCGTTCAATATCCAATTTAAACTTTAAAACTCATTTTAACTAAAAATATAAACTTAAATCTATTGGCATTTTATCCCTATCTCTACTTCTTTATCTATAAGTTGGATAAATACGATAGGTTTTATTGCGGCGCATTAAGAAACAGGGAAGGATTAATGAAAATCGCAAATCACCGCGCTCTCCTGGACTGAAAACATTATTAGAGAACAGTGGGCTACTTGTAGTTTATACGTTCTATAAATTATAAACGTAAACATGTACTGTACAATGGGCAATAAATTAAAATACTAAGAAAAACCCAATTTCAAAACCAGCGGGAACACGAAAATTATATCTTGGAACACTCGTATTATACGATGCATATGTCAGTTCGCATGAATCTAAAGCAGCGGCTTCCATCAGGAAAATCCCTGATTAGTATTAGCGTGCAAACATGGCATCGCCACTTTGTGGCCGAATTATAATATGATTAGGGCAAGTGGCGCGCTTAGAATCGTTTACATAAGCCTCGGAATAGGTTTTTTTAGCGTTAAGCTTGTATAGTGGAGGTTTTAAAGGGGAATAAAAAGATTTTTTATTCCCTTTTTTCACAAGCGCTGCACAAATTGTAAAAGTTTAATTAAGGCTTTCAATATGAAATGATTTTATTAAAAGATTAAGAATATTGTATAATGTCGAAGTATAAAGTGTAAGAGTGCTTACTTTGGAAACCGAATTCTATAATCAATAATTAAAAGTCGAAATGGTATTTGTTATGAAAGGCATCAATTTCATAATAAATCAACTTGTCAAATCTATATTGGGTTTCAGAAATTAATTAAGGATACGGTATCGATTTGTACGGAGCGATGTTGCAGCGCATCTGGTATTTACGTTTTTTGCGTCACTCTATCATAAGCATAACGTTGCAGATAGGTACAATGTTGCATATTAAAAAAATAAGTTAAACTTACGTTTTTTGCTACAGGAAGAGAGTTGGTTGCCTTACCTGAAAGAGAAAAGCACATTAAGTAACATACTTTGACAAAATACAAAAATGATTGATAAGGGTGGTTTAGAGCAAAATCCGTCATCTATTTAATTAAAGACAACTAAATAATCCATTACTCACCGGTAAATGGTACACATGCAACTTCAATCATTCCTTCTTTCATCTGCATTCAAAAATTCTCAGTTGCATTTGATTACAATAACTCACACTGGCACTTCATCTTTTAAACCAGCTTTTAATGGTTTTGTGTACTAGTAACTCGATAAGTGTCAAACCGGATGTGTTAAGAGAATTTTAACTCATCTGTTTAATCGAGTAAATAAAGAACTGCAT